CGCCTTGCCAAGTGACGTGCTACAAGAATGAATGGCGGTTAGCCGCCATTGACTTTTCCAAAGTAATGATCACATTTATGATAAATGTTGTAAATAAATATAAAAGGGAGAGAAGAAGCTCTCCAAAGGGGATATACAAGAAAAATCGTACTATAATATTCAATAAACTCTGCTTTTCGACTTTGATGCTATTCATTAATTTGTCCTGAATACCCAACGTACTTAGCATTATATTACCGTTGTTAATCCTCATATAACAACACAAACCTCCCATTGGAATCACAGGTGGCCAATGGGGTACAGACAGAGTAAAGGAGACACAAACACCGACAAAGTATAAACTTCATAAATGAGACTAAACCTCCATGAATAAGACTAAAAGTCAGACGCAGCTAGGCTTAACAAAACGAAAACTACGAAAAATAAAAATAACGCACACCTACCATGCAAATAGTTTATGACCTCCCCTAAACCTACCAGACAAACCGCACGACCAACTGTCCCGGCGCACGAGCCACGACCCGCTGCACAAAATCCCAACAAAACTACAAAATGAGACTCCAGGCTTAAAAACTACAGCCAAACTCGAACTACGTAGACAGATCTATCAATCTGTTGAGGAGGCGATTCACAGTCCAGATCATGGATCCATCGATCTTCAACGCCGCCGTGGAAGGGGGGGAGCCACCACGGGAGACGACACTGGCGGGACAAACCACGCCGTCGAGGCAGAAAAGAGGCGTTTTTTCGCCGGGAAACTCCAGCCGAAGAAGACAATCAGACGCCCGCAGAGAGGACTCCCGGTCGACGTGATGTCGGAGGAGGGAGAAGCAGGACAATGTCCCCCAACCAAAGCGGGAGTATAAAGCGCGACGTCGCAGCTGTGGACACACCCACACTAAGTCTGAAAAGGGGTGGGACGGGCTCCTCCAACCTTGGCCATGGCCAGACTGGGCCGCATCGGTTGCCGGTAGGAGGGGGGCAGCAGAATCAACTTTTATTTTTTGTTTTTTTTTTCGTTTGGGGAAGAGAGACGAGGGCGACAACCTTTAGAGAGATTAGGACTGAAACATGAATATTTATTCAAATGGACTTTTGTATCCAAAAGTCCATTTAAGAAGTGTTTCCAAACAAGTTGAAAATATGACATTCCGCTTTTAATAGACATTTTTCTATTCTTTTTGTTATTTTTTTATTTATCTGCATTTTTTTTTTTCGGAACGAAAGAGATAATATAATAAAACTCAAGGAAACACATAATTCCAATACAGACGGGGCCCAAAGCCGAAAAAAGGAAAAATGAGAGGACGCGCTATGAAGCGGCCTAGACATCCCACCGATGGGATACAACAAGAAACTAAAAACCAGAAAAAAATCAGCTCCCCATATCACTGCCACAGCCTAACATGGATAACTAGCTTCAAAACAAAACCAAGAACGAAAACCACAACTACACAACAGCAAACCAAACTGAAAATCACAGCAAAAGAGAAAATCAAGAAACAGCAATGAACTCCTCCCAGTCTCTAAGGGCAGCCTTAACCAAAGCTTGGACTGGCATTAGATCTTCCTGAAATAGCCATAGGTTCTGAGACTTCCACAGCCACCATAGGATGTACGTGGTAAGCTGTATGCGGGCCTCGGCCACCTCAGATCTGTCAATACTACAAATCTGCCACCACCAGATGCTGAAAGATTTTTCTTCAGAACACAGACCATCCCAAGTGACAGGACTAGCTTTCCACACAGCTCTAGCTCTGGTGCAGTGAAAGAAAACATGGCTTACTGTTTTTACATCCTCACCACAAGATTGGCAGATTACATCAAGCTTGATCCCTTTCTTCAGGAGATTGGATTTAACTGGAAGGGTGTTGGAACAACCAGGGCCGGCCCTGGGGCAGGGCCAGCAGGGCGACCGCCCAGGGCCCACCCAGGGCCCACAGATTTTGAGGGGCACCAAGCATTAAAGGCCCATTGAATTATTAAGGCCCCATTTTATGCTCGGGCTTTTTAGATTGATGTTTTACTAATCACCAACTATTTTGAGCAATGTTAATTAGTCTTTTACAACTTTGTTATGGGCTTGCATAGGTTGAGTTGTCTAGCCTAGCCCACTAAAGACTTGTTTCGAATAGTTATATCCAATTTTTGAATTTATTTTAAAAAAAATTAAACTACTTTGTCAAATTTATTTATCAGTTGACTTATTAAATTATGTGTTGAGTGTTGACAAAAATATTAATTGTTCAATTTTAATTATGTTAGTCTCTTTTTGCTAATTTTGCCACATTTTTTCTCTCTTATAATATATTATTCTATTTTCAATGTCTAATAGAAAGGAATAACAAATTCTTATTATGAGTTACTTACATACATTTAATTATTAGTTATTATTAGTAAATAATTTTTTCTCTCACATTTATTATAATTGTTATATTTTCAGTATATACATATATAAGAGAGTATTTACAAAACATAGTCACAAAAAGGACGAGAATATTTAATGTATACCTTATTTGAAAACTTCATTTTTGTAAAAGTGAACACATGTTTTACTATTATAGTCACCAAGTCCGTTCCTAAAAATTTGAGGAAATGAAGCTTTGACGCACTACACTAATTCTTTTTGTCAGAAAATCAATTTAATGATAGCAAAAATAAATAAATAAATAAAAAATATGGAGGCGCTAGCACTTGTCAATTCTTTTTTGTGTAAATTTTATAATTTTGTTATAATCCTCAGTCTTCAATATTTTTTTATAATATGATAATAATAATTTTGTCATAATCTTCATTCTTCAATATTTTTTTTATAATATGATAATTATAAATTTAAATGGGGCACTATTTATCATTTTGCCCAGGGCCTCGAATTTTTCAGGACCGGCTCTGGGAACAACATTTCCAAAGAAAGTGCCTAAGCTTGGGGTGCACCTTCAGCTTCCATGATCTCTCTCTGGCTTTAGAAATAAAATTAGAATGTCCACTGCTCTGGGGGATGTCCATCCCTTGCACCTTAAGATATAAGAAATGAGAATAGGCAGAGGAGACAGAGAATAAACCATTTTTGTTCAACCCCCAATACACTCTATCCTCTCTGTCAGGATGAAGAGTGTTAATGCTAGAAATGGGTTGACTTTCTTCAGAGTTGAAAATTTGAGAAATTAACCAGGTGTTCCAGCTTCTGCCATCATTAGATATCAAATCCTTTACCCAAATTAAGTGACCTAGTGCAATATCACTCATCTGAGGCCTAAGAGTTCTTAAGGAAGGGATCCAATTGATATCAGAGATTTTGGTGGTAATCCCATTCCTTATTTGTACTATGTAGCCTTTTGCAAAAGAAGGAAGAATTAATTAAGTTGGCATTCATTTTATCATACTAATTTACCCTATGACAAATTTTTAGTAATTACTCATTGTTCATAAATAATATATAAAATCTAATATCCTTTCAGTGATTTTAAGTTGGCATTCATATTTTATACATAAAATATAAAAATATTATTTATTCAATGTAAAATTAATTAACTCATCTAAAAATACCACTTTAAAAATAATGAACTCACTAAAGTTTCTCATAAAATAATTACAAATATATAGTAAGTAATTTTAGTAGCATAAAATAACATGAAATAATATTTTCATGTAATTTTTCAATATTTGATTGAAAAATTTATGTTAATTTTTGAACTGTTACAAGGGTACTGTGAACTAGGTACAAGGATCAAACATTGATTAACTAGTGATACACTTCTATGAAAGGTGAAGATTTTGAGCTAGAAGCTTGTGCATCACTTCTTGTTTTTATAGTTTAGGTAACTTTTGAGGAGAATGAGAGGTCATATACAACATGTAACAATTTTGCTATGGAGCTATCGGATGGCTCGGCTTATGGAGTCATCCATAGTTATTGACAAATGGCTCGAGCTTATGGATGTCTCCATAAGGAAGCCATCCGATGGCTCCGTAGAATTTCTCAAACAAGTAAAATGCATTATATAAACATCATTGTATCCGAAAAGGTGATTCACATACCATCTGCTAACATTCCCAAAGAATCCCTATAGGGATCTAACCAAAGGATTATCATCAAACCATTTACATAACCAGAAAGGCAATTCTACAAGCTCAGCAAGAGCATTCATCATTCATGCTTCGCGTCTAACTCATAAATCTAAACCAATGAAAATGAAGAATTTAAAAAATACAAATAGATCACTGCACGACCCAAATGACCGAAAATTACCAGAAAGCGCATGTGGTATCATCACAAGGTAAGGGGCAGAACTCATGGGCAGGCCCACAGCATTGTGTTCATGTGGTATTTAAAAAGGATAATTACCAATCCATGGACTCACTGATCTGCCAGGATTATGATGCCTCATGAGTTGGATGCATTCGATTGATCATACCAAGGGAAAAACAATAGACCTTAACTGTAGAATAAGAGAGGACAATTGTCCGAACAGCCAATGCCAGGTTCGTTAAAAGATCGTTTATCACAATTCAGAAATTCCTCAAGCAAAGAACCAAAATAACAACCAATAAAAAACAAATCTACTAAACAAAACCAAATGTTCATGTAAGAAGTGAGGATTCTCAACATTCAAGTAGCAAGTTGCAAGCTCGATATACCAAATTCCTCAACAAAGAATACTATTTAGCAAATCAAACTGCACGAATCCATTAAAGTATAGACCGACCAATTCCATACCTCATCACAGACAAAATCTAAACAAAATATAACCGGGTCATCACTTCTAACAGATTTTCACAACACTAATCACCCGAAACAAGCAGCATACACACCTATACTTCCCATCACCCCTTTCCATACTCAAGTTAAGAATAACGCCACTTAATTCTCCTAAACAATAGACCTGGCATCAAGCTCTAAAATTAAAACAAACGCATCAACAATACACTCCAGTACACTATAAAAGAAATCCAAGCAATTTCTAACACAAAATTCATGCAAACCACAACCTACAGGAATTTTAACTCAGAGCCTCAGCAGCCGCTGCAATCTCCAATATTTCATTCGTAATTTTCGACTGCCTCTCACGATTATAAGCTACCGTAAGAGTTCTTTTCAACTCAACTGCATTATCTGTGGCATCACTCATCGAATTCATCCTCGTCGCTAGTTCGCTCGCGTAGGATTCCTGCAAAGCCCTCAGAATCTGGCTGTTCAAATAAAGTGGCATCAGCGCATCAAGAATCTGAGCAGGGTCCTGCTCGAACTCGTAATTTGTTAAAAAGAGCCCTTTTTTACTCATGGGGTCCCTCTCCACGGCCAACTTTCCTCTTTTGGTGGTTAACCGAAAAAACTCATCCTCAACAGAATGCACATTGTCGCCACCCTTTTGGGATAAAGGGAGCAATGTGCGGATAATGGGATCGGATTTAATCAACGACACGAACTTCGTGTATATGACCTCGACTCTATCTACCTCTTCGCTCAAAAACAACGAGAAAACAACATCGGCAATCACTTGAGCCTCTTTGGAGGTGGGAAAGCTGTCCCCCTCGACAAATTTATCCACGTTCACGCTCGGCCTTCTCTTGAAATAAGCGTTGCCTTTCTTGCCCACGCTGATCAAAGTATATCCCAGGCCAAGATTCTTCAGTTCCGAAATTCGGGACTCAGCCTTTTTGATTACGGCGTTGTTGAACCCCCCACATAGTCCTCTGTCGCCCGTGATGACTACTATGGCAACTCTCTCGACGGGCCTAACGGCAGTTAGTGGAATCTCTACGTCATCTAACTGACACTGCTCGTTAATGTCGAGTAGTACCTCGACTAGGGTTTCGGCGAATGGGCGACCATTGACGACGGCTTCTTGAGCTCTGCGCACTTTGGCCGCCGCAACCAGCTTCATTGCCTCAGTGACTTTGTGCGTGTTTTTCACAGTTTCGATTCTCTGCCGGATTTCGCGAAGCCCGCACCGGATCGAGGAGGGTCGTGGAAATTCGAATCGATCGGGCTTTCTTGGAGGATTGGGAATTGGGAACGGGTTGAAAAAAGGAGTTAATTTGAAGTTATTTATGGTAGATAGGGGGTGGGTTAACAAATTGACAGAAAACATGTTCTTTGAGAAGAACAAATGAGTACTAAGAAAAATTCATGGAGGTTAATTTAACAGGGATGATTTCAGAAGAAGCGGGGAAAAGAATAAATGGAGGCTTTTGTTTTCGAGGTTCCGGCTTTGACCCGCTAAACATCGCACCCTTTTTTATATTTACCGCCCCCAAATACGAATTTGCCATCCACCTCATTTCTCTCTCTCCTACTCTCTTTCTCTCTCTCGTTTTTCGCTCATTTGACGTCCGAAAAAATTACGAAAAAATGTCGAGACCATCTAGACGCGAAGGCAAGGGATTCTTCGTTCGATCGGTACGTTTTTTTTTTGAAATTTCGATCGAAAATTTTTTTTAATTTTTTCTTTTTTTTGTTTCTGTTGGTGGCCGGTCACCATTGCCGGCCAAAAAATCGATTGGCCGACCACCCTTGCCGGCCACAAAATCGAACGGCCGGCCGCGGGTGCCGGCCAAGCTCGGCGCATGGTTGTGCCGGCCACCCTAGGCCGGCTGTTATGGGCCGACCGCAGCCGTTTTTTCGCCTGCTTTTGCGGCCGGCCGACGGAGCTGCCGCCTGATATGGCGACCGGCCGTGCGTTTTTCGGCCGCCGTCGGCCGACCCTTTATATTTTTTTATATTTTTTTTATAAATTTTAAATTAATTGAAAATAATATAAAAAAATATTAAATATTTCGAAAATTGTTTTTCGAAAATAATTAATAAAATTATTTTTGAAAATAATTTAATATTATTTTCGAAAATTATTAATAAAATTATTTAAAATATATAAATAAAATATATTTAATATATAAATATAGTAATTATTATAAATTGTATAAAATTATTAAAATTGTTTTTTTCGAAAATAATATTAAAAAAATTAATAAATTTTTATTATTTTTTATTTAATATTAAAAAGTTTAAAAATTCTAAAAATTAATGAAAATAAGAAAATTAATTGAATATATTATAAATAAATAATTGAATATATTATATATAATATAAAATTATAAATAAAATTATTTAAAATATATAAATAAAATTATATAAAATAATATAAAATTATAGAAAATTATAAACAAAATTATAAATATATAAATAGAGTAATTATTATAAATTGTATAATATTATTAAAATTGTTTATTATTAATTATTAGTTTAATTTGTTGATTTAGAGTGATGGATCTGAGCGAGTTGTGGAGTTTGGTCAGCTCGACGGTTCTGGACCCCGACACACGAAGAGTCGGTATGTAGATGTCGACGTTTGTCTGGAGAGGGAGGTGAGGATCCGTGAGGCTCAGTTAGCTCAGGCTGAGATGGCTAGGAGACTTCCACCGATCGTTCCTTCGGAACCGAGTGGTCAGCAGAGCGGTGGGCAGCCCAGCTCATAGATGGCTGGCAGTATGCCGACGAGGATACGTATTCGTCAGTCGTCGACTCCGATCGTCGAGAGCCCGGTCCACTATTATCAGCAGGACGATGACCAGGACGATGATGAGGGTGAGGAGACTGACTCTGGAGATGAGCAGACCACGTCACTTCCTCCTCCCCCTGTACGACCGGTACGACCTGCTCCTCCACGACAGGCTGGGGGCCGTTTTGCGGGTACTGCATCCTCCTCTAGTAAATATTCTATGTACTTTAATTTTTTTATTGTTAGTTACATATACTTTTATTTACTAATAGCATATCATTGATATAGTTAGTCACAATATGTCGTGTATATATCTAACACGTAATTGTCTAGTTGTCTATTTTGTCAGTTACATATATTTTTATTTTGTCTGAGGAACAGAAAAGGATCTATTCCGTTGGTAATATCAAAAAATTTATTCCTAACTTACAATACCTTAATGCACACATATAACATAACTTAAAATTTATTTTCATTTCATCTAACAAGGTAATTTTATTTTTAACTATCAAATCTATAATAGGATATGATTTTCCTAAAAATTTTATTATTCATAAAATTTATATTTTTTCTTTTCAAGTTATTAGTATAATTAAAAATAAAATCATTCACTACTATATTTTGTTCTTAGTTTATTAGTATAATTTTTAAATAAAATGAATGAATACTACATTTATATTTGAGCTTTAATGGAATAATTAGTTATTTATAGTTTATTAAGAAAAAAACTTTTAATTAACTAAATAATCAGTCACAATATGGCGTGTATATATCTATACTTATTTGTTGTATTGTAAATGCAGGTTCGAGTAGCAAGCAGGCTAAGGGTGAGGAGTCTTGGGTCGTTAAAGCCCCAGTACCCGGTGGCCCCAGTGACGGGAGCGTTATCCCTAGCTTTCTAGGGCACGTGGCCTCCCGTATAACGTTGCCTGGGCCAGACAGGCATGTTAGAGGCATATTGAAATGCCAAAACAGGCATGGAGCGCACGGCACTCTGAAGGAGTGGCTGGCCGAGATGGATCCCGAGCCACATGCTTTGATAGATCAGTCGGGGATGTCACATCTGGCGGACTCCATGCATGCGCACCTGGACACTCCACTACTTTCTGCATTCGTGGAGCGCTGGCAGCCCGATACTAACTCGTTTCACCTGCCTTTTGGTGAAATGAGTATAATGCTGCACGATGTTCGGGCCATTTTGGGGATTCCCGTGGAGGGGCGTTTAGTGGCAGCGGACCCGACCGCTGAGAGACTCAGTGCGTACTGCATGGAGATGCTGGGGGTGGACCAGAGAGAGCTGATGGACACCTCTGGGATCACGGCGCGGTGACCACTACCGCCGTTTCGGGTACATTCAGGGGGCTGGACGAGTCTCGGCCGGCTGACCAGGAGGCAGCCGCATGGTTGTGGATGGCGATGGGTACCACCTTGTTCGCGGACAAGAGTGGTAACAGGATTAGTCTGAAGGTCCTGCACGAGATTAGCGAAGACACGACTAAAGTTCCAGAGTACTCCTGGGTCTCGGCTACACTGGCATACATATACAGACAGTTAGGTGTTGCCAGCAGGGGGGACTCCAAGGGGCTGACTGGCTTTTGGCTCTCCTGCAGACCTGGATTTTCGAGTACTTCCTGCCCTTTCGCCCCCACGAGGCGCCCCAGCCAGTAGATGGCGCTCCCACACGTTCTACCTGGTGGAGCATGGCGGTGACTCAGAGGTCCGCAGATCGCCTTCAGGGTTACCGTGTCGCCCTTGACCAGCTCAGGGTGGACCAGGTACGTGGACCAGGTACCGTGTCGCCCTTGACCGGCAGTGACGTACTCGACCACCGTGCTCGCTTCCATGATCTTCTTCCACCGACCAAGCGTGAACATCTCGGCGAATTGACTATTTTTGTGGGTGATTTTATAGACCCTCTGTTCCACATCCTTGTTGATGTGCCACGTGCAAAGAAGATGGGCAGACATCGGAAAATTAATCATAATAAGATTAATCAACCCCATCTCCCTGTCAGTGACAATGACTGAAGGATGTACATTAGACCCAATCAGATCTCTCAATCGCTTCAGAACCCAGTCATAGTTGTTCTGGCTCTCGTCCTTCACAATTGCATATGCAATCAAGAAATTCTTGTTGCACGACGTCATCCCTATTATTTCCACAAGCGGCATCTCGTACCTGTGCAAATGAGGGCAACAAAATCAAACAAAGAATAAAAAAAGGTACCTACTCAGACATATTAATTAAGATTCGTACTAAATTGTTATTTATAATTAACGTACCTGTTGGTTTTGTACGTCGAATCTATACCGACGTACCAATAATATGTCTGAAAGAGAAGGGCTGACTGGGGATGCGACATGAACACACGTGTCAAGGTGTGTGTGTGCTTATCAGAATCGGTGAAAACTATGTAATTAGCCCGGCTAGCCAGATGCATAAGCTGAGAAGTCACATCTCTGCCCTCGAAACTCTCTGATCGGATTCTAGCCCTACAGTTGTAAACCTGTTGACGAACCGCGTTGTCAGACGGGTATTTCTCCTGTATCGCTGCCAATATTACCTCTGGTCTTGCCTGGGCAGCTGTCATGTCACGGACGATATGTCTCGCCTTTTCACTCAATCCGTTGAACTGTCGATGACCCTCGGGATACAAAACCATCGGATGATTATGGTATCCCTTCCGGTCATCCAGAGGAAAACATACACTCCATGAATCTTTCGTACCGCCACTTTTTTCAATTTCATCTCAAACAGACATCCGGTAAATTTTATTTTCGACTTTCTCAGGACAGTATTAATAAGATTGGATATTTTATTCCCTCGATAACGTTCCCCTCGGTTACACTTCAGAATCCTCAATGTTCCTCCCTTTGAGTGCTTTGAAATAATTAGTGCAAAACCACAGATAGTTGCCATATCGACTGCATAGTTAACAACTTTTTGAAGACTATCAAATATCTCATCTGTTCTGAAAAAAGGCCAATAATCAACATTATCTCCTCCAAAATCCTCAACTGGCGCCTGCAATATATTACTAAAACATAATCAATTATAAGTAACTATTAAAAAATAATAATTTATATTATATTATAACAATATATTTTAAAAATATTATTACTTTTTAATAATAATATATATATGACTAAAAATATTATTATTAAAAATATTATTATTTTTAATATATATTTTAATAATTATATATAATTATAATTATATATTTTCGTATATATATGATAATTATACATAATAATTATATATTTTCGTATATATAATAATTATATATAATTATATATTTTCGTATATATATAATAGTTATATATAATTATATATTTTCGTATATTATAAATAATATATAATATATAAATAATAATTATATTTTTAATATTTTAAAATATTTAATTATATTTTGAATATATATTTTTAAATATATAATTATATTTCATAATTATTATTTTTGTATATTATTATATATA